TGTGCGATACACTGATATAAGAGGACGCTTGTGGTAAAGAATGTATCAATTTAAAATCAGCCAGAATAACAAAGAAATATTTTTAAATAAGAAAGGCAGAAAGACAAAAATGGGGAAATAAGCATAGAAAAAAAGAGGAAATAGGTATGGTAGATGATCAATTTTATGGTCATAATCAAAGCTTGAACAAGTAGCTTCACCATAAAGTTTTCTAATAAGTAGTACTGGAACTCTGTGTAAAAATTCTTTTGTTTATTCATTTCATTTTTTTTTCGATTAATCTGCACTTATTAACTGTTTGTCATGTTTTACATTTTTTTCTACTGTTTATTAAGCGAACTTTTATAATTTGATATATTGTTTAAAAAATGCTGTGTTAAGTAATGCTTACACCTTAAATTCGCAATACTAATCTTTGTTTAGTGTACTTTTTGAGCCGCTTAAGACAACAACAATGTAAAAAATTGCAGCTGTATAGCGCATTCATAATTGGTATAAACTGTTCAGAAATAAAATTTTTATTTTTTCAATAAATTAATATCAAAGTTTTAATTACTTAGAATTAATTTGATTAAAAGATGTCATTGTTTAGGGAGTACATGTTGCTGATAAAAACCCGGCTATAGTTTGTGTTACGCCGTTGTTAACGAATGTAACAGTGAAAGGCATTGTCGGATTATCTGCACAAGCAAACTGTATAATAGTGGCGGCTGTAGCAGGAAAAGTTCCAAGTTGGGTACCAGTACCAGCAGGTCCAGTGAAGAACCTAATGCAGTTTGCTGATGCTGCAGTACAAGCACAATTGGCTGTGTACAAGCAGTTACCTCCAGAGGTTCCCGCACGTACTACATTGGTGAAACCATTAAAGCTTACTGCAGCGTCAGCCACTGGGTCCACAGGGCAGACACAATCTAAAAACAGACTTAATCAACTGCTTGTTTGTGTTAAGTTAAGTCAAAGTATACTCTAATTGAATAGATTATTTCTGTAACCTGCCGCAGGAGTAGTAGTAGTAGTAGTAGTAGTAGTAGTAGTAGTAGTA